AACAAAATTATGTTCGTGACGGATTTGATAGAAACGCATGAAAATCGTATTTCTTAATGGAGTGAAGACACGTCTGAAGATGCGTTCAATGCTGGACCAAGAGGTGGGAATTCTGTTAAGAAGGAATTAGATAAGGTGGTGTGATGTCTATGAGAAAGACGTTCACACGGATGAAAGTTGCCTGTTTGAACAGAGCAAAGGGCTTGTTTGAAGAAACAAAGCAAGGGCTGGTGATCAACGAAAGACACCAAGCAAGGAAAAAGAAGAGGTGGTGACAAGAGAGAGCACCATCAACCTTCACAAACACATTCACAAGACCTTCAAGAAGAAGGCTCCAAAAGGCGATGGAGACAATGGTTGTGGAGATGGAGTTGTGGACGGAGAATTCTGGAACTTTATTCGACAACGTTTTGGTGAAGCACAAGGATGCGAAGAAGCCATTAGTCGATGAAGTTGAGAATGCGAATAGTTCTTAAACTGAAACAAGACAAAGAAAGCCGAGGTTGGTGATCAAAGCAAGACACCAAGCAAGGAAGGAAGCTGCTTACCTAAGAGAAAAAGGGAGTAGAAATCGGTTATAGAGATAACCGAAGAAGACGTGGAGAAGATTCGGGAACTACCGAAGATTCACGCACAAGACGTCAAGGAGACGTGAGTAAAGTCCACGAGAGACTTGAAGGAGACATGGAGAAAGCTCGCGGGTAAGAGAAAACGCAAGAGTTCCAATGTCTGAAATGGGAGCCGGTTACAAAGACAACCGAAGAAGATACGTCAAGGAGACGTGAGGAAAGTCCACGAGAGACTTGAAAGAGACATGGAGAAAGCTTGCGGATAAGAGAAAATCCTAGAGTTCCAATGTCTAAAGAAGAAAGAATTGACAAGAAGGTTGTCAATTGCAAAACGGAAGCTAAGAAGGAGACAGACCGGAGTTCGATTAAGGAAGATCGATCAAGAGGGAGACAGAGAAGGCAAGCTTACAAATGAATTATGCCATCGTTGTGAAAGGGATTTGAACAGAGAAGAGGCAAATCACCAAAGGCAAAGAAAGAGCGGTGGAAATGAATTTGGGGATTTAATCAAAGGACTCAAGAGGGAGTGTTGAGAATTGAGTCCATGATTAAATCTTGTAATATCATATGTTATTGTTTGTATGTAAAGTCAACAGATGTTATGTGTTACTCGTGACTTACTACGAAAGGGTGTGTCTAAGAGACATAACTTGTTGGACAAGATACAACTGTTAGCAACGTTGTGTAAACATCTATATAAGTGTACATATTGTATTCATGTAAAATTGTCTAGAAATAAAGAGAAGTTTTTCTGATGTTTGCATTCTCTTATTCTCTTCCAACAGGCCGGCCATGGTTGAACCAGTGTTTCACAATCAAAGATAATTTTATTTTTCCTTTCAGTTAACTAATATAAATATCATAAGTTGTGAAGTTGTATGACTTTTTCGTATAACATATTGAAGTCTTGAGATTAGTTACATAATTTACATTAGAGATTAGACCACTAAAATGGGACAAACGTGGTTTCATTATGTCTTTGGCCGTAGGATGGTATTCTACGCCGGACTAGCTAGATAGCAAGCACGAACAGAGTGGATCCCCAAAAGCCGTCTTGTCCTTTATGACCACTTTACTGTTTATAATTTAACTTATATAATAAGCAATTTACTTTAATAACAGAATAAACTCTTCTATTTAAACTTCATTTGCATAATTGAAACAATCCGATCCGGTTTTTTTTTATAGCATCAAATTAGCATTCTCATAAATACTAACTCTAAACATGCTAAATTCTCAATCACAACAAACCAGCAGAAATCAATAAGCAATTAAACCATTCAAATAACCAATTCACAAACAACAATATCCAATTCCAACTAACCAACATTAATTCCAATACAACAATTCCATAATAGTCAGCAACCTAATAAATTCTAACGATAACATAAAAGCAACCAAC